TACTACTACTACTACTACTAAAGAAGAAGGAAGTAGTAGTAGTCGCGAGCGAGGGGGGGAAGAAAAAAAAAAGAAGACAAGTGCCTGATGACTACTTCCTCGCGTGCTTCCTGGAACACCAGGTTCCCGGCCCGGGCAGCACCACGTAGACGAAGGCAGCCCATAAGGAACTCTTCGATTTCCACAGAGCCACCTGTGTGCGCAAGAGGTGTTCTCGAGTATCGAACACTGGACCCTGCAACAAACAAAGCTACGTATTTCGAGTAGGGTTTGGGCATTCGCGACCTGAGAAATTAGTGTCGCATCTGCTTCAGGCCCCTACATATAGCTATAATCATAATATTCATAATCACAATCATTATGTACAAACACAAATATATAAAACATATATATATATAATAAGTTCAATAACTTCAATCTTATAAAGAGGCACTGCGTCGAGCTGCCGTGCTCAGGAGAGATGGCAAGGAACTTCGTGAGCCTTTGAGCCACTGTATCCCCAAGCCCCATAAGCCCTAAACCTAATCATGCCCATAAACCCCTAAATCCTAAAACAGGCGTGCTTCTTGGTGAGATTTTGTGCCAAAGCCCTCGCAGCCTTCCCCGCAAAAAAAAAAGCTGAAACTCCAAAGAAGAAACCAATTCCCTGCCCAGAAAGCCTGATAACCTTGAGCTTAGGGAAATTACCGTGCTACGAAACCAGACATAGTTTTGGACACTTCCTCGCTTCTTTTTTGTGCTTGCCGGCAGATGGTTTACTTCCTCTGGAAGCCGTGCTCGAAACTCCAGGTAGCCGAGAGTTCCTCAATCACGACGTTTCTTTCTTCTTCTTTTTTGTGGGGGGGCACATCAGATTATGCGAAGCCCGCAATCGTTGGAAATCAAGTAACTCTTGACTTAACATCTGCAGTGTTTAGGCCTGTCCCTAGACCCTAAACCCGTAAACCATAAACCCCTAAACCCTAAACCCTAAATCCAAAAAGCCTAAATTGTTAGGCCTTTGTTGTCGGGGGTCCAGCAAAAAAAGCTTCGGCCTCCATCCATGTCCAAGAGCTTAAAGAAAGACCAGGCATCGGAGATGTCGAGGCCCAAAGTCTCGAGGTATTCCTGAGTTCTGTAAGGTCCATTATGGGCCATTGTCTTGGAGATATGATAAAAGTTTTCGTCGGGTTTTCTGATTTTTTTATGTTTGCGATAGGGTTCTACTCAGGGCTTTAATAGGGTTTTCTTATGTGCATTTTACAAGATTCTTGACACTCCCCTGTGCACTCTTCCGGAAAAGCGGGCCTTTCCAAGCGAACGACAAAAAACTTTCTGTGCAGGCCCTTTTTGGGCGTTCAATAAGGATGGTTTTCTGGGACAGAATAGACGAACAGTTGGAGACAAAAAGCATTGTCGACGTCAGCACAGTCGATGCACGCTGAATGACCACTGCAGGAGGGTTTAATGGCGGTCTTCATTTGCAGAAGGTCTTCGGGGATATTGTCGACGAGGTCAAAAGGAATTCGCAATGGTATCTACCTCCAATGGCGATTGTAATTCCACTACAATGTGTGCCAATAACAAGAACAATACAAGGATATATCAAACCAACAATAATTAGTAATGATAATGATAATAGGAACAAGAATAATCGCATCAATAATGACACATATCTATCTACTTCTCTATCTATCTATCTATCTATCTATCTATCTATCTATATGCTAACCCCCAGTTGACCCGCACGACCTCTGAGTGGGTGTCGCTGCATTTTCGGTCTACGGTAGGAGAAATTCTGTCTTGCAACATCAGCCATCTATCTTCGTAGACGCTGATGTAAGTAATATTCGTGTTCTTCGAAATGCTCTTCACCACTGCTCGTGATCCTATACACGAGGGCACTCCACTCTGTCACCTTGGATTCGAATACAGCAGCGATGGGGAAAGGTAATGCGGTACGCACACGATCGAATGAAGAAGTCCTGAATAGAACCAGGGAGCCAGGTGGCATGTAGCCAATAACAACTGGAGCATCGATTGGGGCTGCCGGTATACGTCCGTCATTCGGCTTTCCGAACCAAAAAGACATGATTCTTTCACGAATCTCTTGCGACAATCGCACCAAGTCATGGCAGCGACGAGAAAGCGAAAGGAAAAACACACGTAAGCCGCTATGGTGAATATACTACATAGGATTGAAATATAGAGAAGTGTGGGTCCATAGGGGGGTTGCCCCATATACATATATATATATATACATAACAACAATGTGCCCCAAAACGCTCTTGGAAATCTTAGGGCCCCTGCTTTAGACGGGGACCTTTCTCCAAGGGGCTCGAACAGCTGGGTCGCCCAATCGCTCCTGGCCAAATCGCAGCAGGGGCTGGGCCACCGAAAGGCTGGTTGTTTAGGGTTTCAGGGTTTAGGGTTTTCGGTTTAGGGTTTCAGGGTTTAGGCTTGGCGGGTCTTGTGATTTGACGTTTAGGGCTCAGGTTTTCGGCGGTTCGCGAGTCCTTTTTCTCCCCCTGGTCGCCCTGTGTCATTGGAATGGGGGCCGCGACGCTGAATTCACGCCTAAATTCTCGAAGTACTTGACGGGTGTTCGTTGTCTGTGCATGGGATCAACTTCCCAACTAGAGCACGAGCCCTGAACACAATGACCTTACCATTAGTGGTCAAGAATCATGGTATAACTGTCATTGCATCGGTTTCCATTGGAGATCCGGTAGCATGATTCCACAAGACATTCTGTGTGCATGCTGACAACCTTAGCCCATTTTTCATCCCATGAACCCATAACTCAAAACTCCAAACACTCAAGCTGAAAGTTTACATCCAGAAAAGCCAGGGCTGCATGGATTTTCGTGGTTTGTGGCCGTGCTGGGTTCTGAAGCGGCCGCTTCCTTCTGCTGTGGTTTACCACAGCTCCTCTGCCAAGCAAGGTCGCACAAAAAACAGCTGCTTCCAACAACCCTGGATATCAGCATAACATAGGTGCTTCGGGTGTACTTTGCCCACAAGAGTCTCCAAATATCACAAGGCCAGCAACACCAATTATTGAGGTTTTGACTGTAGTAAACCCTAAACCCCTAAACCCTAAACCCTAAACCCTACGTGCCAAGAATGTCCCAACTGGTCGGATCGAGGTTCATTGTAAGTGGACCCGTTACCCAAAGGTCACCTTACCGGTTTAGTGCTCCCATCCGCCCAGAAAGACCCGCGAAAAATAGGGTCCTTGATAACAGAGAGAGAAGGCTTCGGGGTATTTTCCGTTTGATTGTATAGAAATTTTAAAGGCGATACGACTTCTAATCATTCAGACTCTATAGTATCCATGGCCTGAAGCATGGCGAAGGTAATGCCGCCCTCGGATGCCGCCCCGAACTTGCTGAACAACTCGCGTACCTGGGCATGGCATAGGCATTTACGGTAGGGGCCTTAATAATTACCAATACTACTTTGGGCGGTTCCTCATTATAATCCTTGTATAATGGGCCCCAAAACCCTGTTCTAATTGTTAAGACCCCTATAGTTGGGTTTATGGTGTAGGGGTTAGGGTGTACTTGGAGGATCATGGGACTTACTAGGTAAGGTTATAAGTCCCCTAATTGGGGTTATAAGTATAGTTACCTTAGCTATAACCCTACTTACTAAGTCCCATGATCCTCCAAGTAGGGTTATCAGAACCCGAAGAAGGAGACCACCTCATGGGGCTTCTTGATACCACATTGCCACCTTCACGACCAGTCGAACCTGGGAGTCTGAAACAATAAGGATCCTACTCTTTGGGGTACTATATTAGGGTTTAGGGTTTAGGGTTTATAAGGATCCTACTATTTGGGGTACTATATTAGGGTCCTCTATTTTCGGAAACCCCCAGAATTCAAGGTTGAAGCCATGGGCCCCTTAATCTTGGGGGGTCCTTATAATAAGGATCCTACCTTTTCTGACTTCTGAACCCCTCCTAAAGGTTAAACTTTTAGCCTCCTTATTATAGTTCATATGGAAGCCCAAAAAAGTTAAAGTCCTAAGTCCTAAGAGCCAACCAGAAGAACCACAAGTAGACTTGGGTTTTGCGATACTACTTCCCCAGAGGCTCCATATGCATTGCCAGTATGGAATTAGGTCCGAAAAGACCCATGCTTACAATGGTTTTGAGGGACCTAATTCCACAACAGCAGTATAGATGGACCCTCTTGGTCAATACTAGACTGTAAACTCCATACAGTTCTACTCGCAAGATCGGCGGAGCTGGCAGCAAGGTAGCTACTGTAGGACTCCAGGAGGGTTGTACGTGGCGTAGCCCCCCCGAACGAGCTACTTCTGACGCTGTCCGTCCGAAGCTGCCTGCTGCGTCCTAAACCCTAAACCCTAAACCCCTAAACCCCTAAACCCCTAAACCCTAAGCCCTAAACCCTAAACCCTGCTGATGTTTCAAAAGAGCCCCTTTAAGAAAACATGACATAGGGGACTGAATAAGTAGAATAGGGTTTTTGGGCCCTTTATACTATACTGATAATAAGGAGCCCCCAAAAATAGTATCGGTAATTATTCAGGCTCCTATATTACTGCAGTCTTAACATAGAAGAAAGGCGCTCTCCATCCAAAGCATAGGGGGCTTTTCTCTGTAGGAGCTTGGGTCCTGAGAGCATCTGCCGAGGCATCCGTTGAAAAAGTACAATTGAAATAGTTTGCGCGATAAAGTTCTATTTTTTGAAGCTCAAACTGCAGACCCCGGCCGAGACCCTGATGGAAAAGTAAGAGTCCAGTGTGTGAAGCTCTAGGAACTGTCAAGTCTGTCCTTTTCCGAGGGCTTTGTTTGCGTCATCGGGCTTTGGGCTCTATCACTTCAGTGTCCCGATTCCAGACAAGACATGTGGGTGGTTGTCAAAATTATGGTCCCTTTTGGGGTACCCTAATAGTAAGTGCCGTATTATAATAAGGCTCAAAAAGGGACCATAATTTTGACAACCACCCATGTACACATATGACATTACCTGTAATCCGCGGCCGCAAATTGCCGATTGACCAATAATTTGAAAAAAAAGCTGCAGGAGCGAGTTTTCTACGCAGTGTCAAGATGCTTTCCCCACGTGCTCCTCCTTGTCCTCGCAGAGTTGGGCTTCAACAGGCAGTGCAGTCGCTAAGACATGAATACTCTTCTGCAAACCAACATACAACCAAGAAGTGACGACGACTAAGGTCGTGTCTCCGCTGCTCGTTGTTGTCTCCACCCAGAACTATGATCGCTTGTTTGACTGCTTTTCCATAAAGGTTTGCAGATAAAACAGACTTCGTGTCACGAAAAAGGAAGGAACTTGCGACAATCTCAACAGCAGAGAGCATGATAGAGTACATGTGAAGCCTGAGTGTTGACACTTTGGACAGAAAACGCAACCGCACACCCTAAACCCAAAATATGAATCTTTGTTGACTCAGCCAGACAACACATGACAGATGATGTTCATCCTCAGACTGCGAGGCATCCTCCTTTGGGTCGGGCTTAGGGGTTTGAGGAGTTCCACTTCCTGACTTCGACATACCCCGATCTCACAAAGGGTTGCAGGGTTTTTGGGTTCATGTTCTGGAGGCTTCCGGGTTGAATTCAAGGCTTCAAGGTTTGAATACACGGCTCCCTAAAGCCTAAAGCCTAAAATCCCTGTTTTTGGGCACTGTAGTTAGGGATGGAGCACTCCAGGTAGAGTACTTCGAGACCGCCGGCTTAAACGCTGAATCCCATTATCCGCAACCACAAATTGTGATAATGATAACAGCGCTACAAAGACTCATAACAATCCGTTCAAAAGCCTTGAACCATGCATGAGAGCCTCTCTAGGCCCAATAAGCCATTGTGAAACCTGTACTCTATGAAGCCTCAGATGTAGAACCTACTTCTACCAACACCCCAAACCATGACCGTGGATCCCAAAGCCCAACTGCACGGTCCTCCAGAATCGACTGCACAGCAGCAGCGTGGTCGTGCTGAGCCGACTCAATCGCCTCAGGTTGGTCTTTCGACAGGATATTTGTGCAAGGGTTCTTTCAAGGTTGTTCTGGGAGAC